GCTCCGCAACCACAGAGGAATACAACTAGGGGGCACGAGAGCATATTAGGCCTGTTATGATGGGGGCAAAGTGACTCCATGGAGAAAACATTTTTGATTAAATTAAAGAACACAAGGTTATCTTTCCCCAGCACATGCCTCACTGCCGGGGCCTGGATAATCTGTTAATACCATTCAAGCAAAATGACATTATTAAGGAAGTGGAGTACTGCATCTCCACCCAGGCCTGAATGATGCATGTAGCCGACCCTCCATCATCCTAGACAGAGGATGTGGGCCGAGATGGAGAGAGAAGGAGAAAAAGGCTGCCTGGCAGTGACAAAAGCACTTCTTAAATGTCAGCTAATGGTTCCACGGCACCCTGCTGATGAACAGGGTGAGAAAGGAAGAAAAAAAGAGCAGAAATGTATCTACCGTTTATCTCCAGGGGCTGAAGAGCTCAAGCCTATATTTATCCAGTGAAAAATAAAACAACGCTGCTCTTTCTCACACTGTCTTAAAATCTGCTACATTGAGAAAATGTGTAATCCATTATAGTTCTTGGTGGACATAAAATCTGGTTTCAAAAATGTGTAAATCTAGGATCTAGGTTGGGTAATTCAATTGTAAATCTACATTATAAATCTAGGCTATAGGAAGGTATGTATACAAGTCAGTACAGTACAGCGAAATCAAACAATGTCTTATTTTGACCAATCAAAGGTTCATATATATATTATGTAAATATAAATCTTTTTAATAAAATATAATTACAAATACTATAAATTTGGACATACTACTCTTTTGCCATATTGTTTTTTTGCATATACTAAACTTTGGAAGTAGGCATTTTTGGACACAGCGTGAGTTCATGAGCCTGATTGATTCTGAACTGCTCATAAGAGTCATTTGACGAGATTCAAAACAAATGACTCTTAGGAAGCCAGCGTTAACTTGAATCGGACCACTGGTTGAAGTGTACCAGTTTTGTCAACACAATTCACTGCAATTTAGTCATTTAAAAACAAATGTTTCACTCGATTGAGACACATGATGCATTTTAGATGTTTTATAGTGAAATAAATATTTAGTAATATAAATATTAATATTTAGAAATATACAGTGGTTCATACATGTTATTACACTATAAAGTGTGTCAAATGTTTGTTTTTTAAGATTCAATATGATTCAAACTTCAACTATGATTCAAAATCTCCCCAAAATCTCAGTCGACTCTGAATTAACTCTTTGTACAAATCGGTTAAATAATCACTAAAAATAATCTGTTTAAAAAACACTTTTTGGTCGCAAAATGGGCATCACAAATGTTTGATTACATTATTTATTTATTTATTTATTTAATGGTGATTCAGATCTACTGTGTGTACTGTATATTGAGAGATTTTCTAGATATGTAGTAAAAAAGTAACAGTAAATCAGTCTAGGTGGTGTTACATATGAAAACTCCAATTGAAGCATCAACTCAGCTCCAGTCCTCGGGACAAACCTCCCAGAATGTTTTAGATGTCTCCCTATTGAACACACTAACAAGCTGATGAGTTCAATCGGGTGTTT